TATTATTGTTATTGATATTATTATTATTATTTCTTAAATTATTATTATTATTATTATTAGATCTATTATTATTATTATCATTATTATCATCATCATCATAGTTAGATCTAGTGAGCTCATGGTACAAGACAGCTTCCTGACTTCCTGGAATGGTTTAGTTCCTGAGTTTTGAGGTTACAGGACGGTACAGTTGGTCGTTTGAAATGGTCTTGATTACAATGCTTTGTTCTTTAATCTCTAGTTATAGTGTCATGTTACAAGCCATGAAGCCACCTGAACAGTCATTTGAAATAGTACATGAATGAGTTTCTGTGTTGTAAACGGCCCTTTCTGTTAGCTTCTTCAAGAAATCACAAAGGAGTATATTTGCTTATTTATCACCTTTAGGTATCCATTTGGTTAGTTTGAATTGTCAGTTGCATGTACTTGCACCTTATTCGGTTGGTAATTTACTCAAATGTTAAATAGTGCGCTTGTTTAGTTAATTAGCTCGCTGGCAATACTTTATCAAGTTAGCTCGAACTCAATGATTCAGTGGCTTAGCATGGTGTCGATTTCTAAGCTGATTTGTAACGTTCTTAGTCGATTCGCTCATAGTTTCGTTTTAGTTTACAAGATAATCGATAAGATAGATTTTCTGTTTAATTATTGCATTTTTCATTTGATTAATAAGTTAATGAGTAGACATAATAATATCACTATGTAGTCTAATACCTTGTCCCACCCCCCCCCCAAAAAAAAAAGAAGAGTGGGGTGAGCAAACAAGGGGAGCAGCTTTGTTACTATTTATTTATGGTCTTGCAACTTCCATTCACCGTTTCAAAAACTCTTTTAGTTTTAGTAAGAGTTTTACGGCACTTGCAACACAATGAGGTCATGTAAGTGCCGAAGATTAGAGGCGATATAAGAGAGTAAAAAAACAAAAAAGAATAAGGAGAGATAAGGAAAATATGTTTGATAGGAAAAAAAGGAGCAGAACTTGATGCCCTGAAAGACCAAGTGTCTGATTTCATTCGTTTTTGTTTTTTGTTTAATTGTTTTTGGGTAAGTAGGTAGTAATTAAATTAGTTCGTTAGTTAATTTGCCAATTATTTAAAAGTCTTACCCCCACCCCATCCCTACTTCGTCCTTTTTCCACAGATGCAAGGGGTGACAGTGTACAAGTTTCCCCGACCGTGCTTCACACCAGCTTTAGGCAACTCCTGCAACGCCTTGTATCACGTGATCAACCACAAGGGTCAGTTAGTGAGTAGCCTACTGAATGAGAGTCAAAATAATAGTTATGTGAGCGCAGTGGTCTGAATTTCCGTATATATGTGTGTGCGTGTGTGTGTGTTTGTTTGTGTGTGTGTGTTTGTTTGTTAGTGTGTGTGTGTATGTGTGCGTGTGTGTGTGTGTGTGTGTGT